TTTAATTTTTTTAAAAAATAAAAATAATTATATGTAATTTTTAAAATATATATTAAATTTACTTAATATAAATTAAAATGGAAGTAAAAGATGCAAATAAACAACATCAACAACAACAACAACAAAACAATGTATCAAATAATAATATTAATTCTACTAGTAATACATCATCAACTACATCCATTTTAACATCATTCACAACAACATCAACAACAAACAATAATTTAATATCCAAAGATAGCAAATTAGATTTAGAAACCAATAACAACAACAACAATAATAACAATAACAATAGTAATATAGTAAATAGTATTAATAATACACCAACAAAACAACTACTCATTGCAGAGTTGGATTCATCAACCACACATCCCGGTATTACACCACCACTTAAATCATCAGAGTTGCGTCTATCCGAATTGAATTCATCGGACATCTCAACGGATTCCAGTAACAACAACAGTCATTCTTCTATCTATTCTTCAACAGCCAGCAGTACATCTTCGAGTTTATTCTCATCTCTTCCAGCTGGATCTTCTTTTCAAACATTACATCAACATCAACAAAATCAACAGCAGCAACAGCTATTCCAAAGTCAAAGGTCACTCAATAGAAGATCGTTCGATCCAGCTTCGATATCATCATTGAATCTTATCAATAGTGGTGCGACTACACCCCCCTCAAAGCTTGCAAGAACACTCAGTTCAATCGCATTGCTGAGCAACAAAAAGAAAGAGAACTACTCGAGACATACTTTTCCAGGTGGACATCTTAATCACCACAACTCCTACTCTCCTTCGTCTGGCGTCGAAGGTGTTGGTAGTGCAAGTGGTTCAAAGGTATCGGATTCCATTCCTTTGGATATCAATTCACTTGTAAACTCTGGAACAACAGCAACTTCAACAACAACAAAATTAACAACTGCTACATCTAATACCAACAATAATAATAATACTCAAAAGATTAATAATAATAATAATAATAATAACAAAAATAATAATAATATTAATAAATATCAACCAACTACACCAGTGAACACTTCATCATTCCAATCGAATGATGATAGTATCGATCAGATATCACCCCATTTTACAAGAAGACCTTCATCGTTAATCGTTGGTGCCTTTCCTGCTATGACACCGCAACAACAGCAACAGTTGGATTTCGAGACGAATGGTAGAACAACTCCGGACGAGGAACTTAGTGAGCAGAACAAATTCTACAAGAGAATCGAAGAGAATCCCGATGGATTCATTACTATTCAGGAAATTAGATCGATTCTATCTTGTTACGACACCGATGCCATCGACCAAATCATCTCTGGTATCCCCTTTGAAAATGGTATCTGTTTGAACAGAGATTTTCTAGAGTTGGTACAAGAGTTCCAGCAGACCTCGCAATATGAAGATGCCGATCTCATGTTTGAAGTCGATGACTATGACACCAAGAACCATCCAATCAACAATCTCATGGATTTCAAAGTAGAAGATATTGAACAACAACAGCAACAACAACAGCAACGAATAAACAGTACAACATCGATCACTCTTGGCGATGATAGTGACGGTGGTAGTGAGGCAGACTCAAGCAACAACACCTCGAGTGTTGGATACCTACAGAAACCAAGACGATTCGACTTCTCCATTCCACCGAGCTACGGTGAATTCGTAGACAACGGCTCAGTCAATGGCTCAGGAATAAGCAGTAGAGAGTACTTGGAGATGCAGTCAGAGTTGAATAAATTAAAGAACGAAGCAGGTCTAAAGGATATCGAAGTGAAAAAAAGAATAAAATTAGAAGAAGATCTGCATCTTCTACAAGCAGAGATTACAACCAAAGAAGAGGAAAATACCAAACTGCGAAGAGAGAATCAGAATTTAAGTAAGATTGATAAGAGACACAAAGAACTATCGAATGAATTGGAAAAGAGTAAAGAAAGAGATAATAAGAGTAAAGCGGAAATTGATAAACTAAAGAAAAGAAATCAAAGAAGTAAGTATTATTATTATTATTATTATTGATTAAATTTATCAACTATCATTAGTTAGTTAGTTACTAACATGTTTTATTATTACATTACACTATTATAATAATTATTTAGATGATGATGAATTGAAAAAGATAAAGAATGAAAAAGATGTAATACAACAAAGAGAGGAAGATGCATTGAAGACCGTAGAGGAGAAAGAAACAGATATCAAGCGACTGAAGAGAGACAACCAAAAGCTGGAGAATCTATTGAAAGAGTTGGAGGAGAACTATCAGCTTTCCAATCAGCATATTCTAGAGCTGAAGCAAAAGGAAGAACAATATATGGTGCAACACCAAAACAATGTCACTCAAGACAGTTTAAATCTGATGATGTCGATGGACACCCGTCCTACACTGATTCAAACGCAGCTACACGATCAAAAGAAGTTCCAACAGGACGAAGACCAAATCAACGAGCTCAAGGCGAAAATCGATTCGCTTGAGATTGAACGATCGTCGATCACCGACCAGAACCAGGAGCTACTAAGGAAACTTCAAGACCAGCAGTCCAACCAGCAGGCAATCAACGAGTTCTCCTCGAAACTACGTACACTCCATTCACTCTTCTCTGACAGCACCTTTGCTTTCGTCGAACAAATCAACCATTCACAACAATTTGCATTACAAATGATCGATTCCATAGATCATCTATCACAATCAATTATTTCATCAAACAAACAAGAACACAACAGCAACAACAACATCAACAGCAACAACATTTTAGAAGTTAAACAGGTCATTAAATTACTGAAATCTAAACTACCAAAGATGCCAGAGGATTTACTCATCGATAAATCAAACGACAATGATGAACAATACCAAAATGCAACTCAAAACCTCGACGACACCATGAAGCGACTGAATGAAAAGTGGAAGCAGCTACACGACAACCTCGTTCAATGGAAAAAGACGAAACAAATGGAGAATCTACAACAAAGACAAGAAATAGAGGAGTCAAAGAAGATCATCAAGCAGCTACTCACCAAGCAAAGCGAACCACAATTGTTGGCCAACACAGACAGTACCATTGTCTATGAGAAACAGCCTAGTCTATGGTACTCATCGAGTAAACATTTCTTTGCGCTTCTAGGATTGGTAATGGTTCTCTACCTTTTGCTTTCACTTGCGATTGCCTATGTTATTCCACCACAACAATATCTTCAACCAAGCTAAAAAACAAAAAATAGAAAGAAAACGGTTTCACACAGCTAAATATCAGTTTGTTCCCTCAGTTGAGACAAAACCCAACAATTGTTTGTTCCAAACGCTACCTCAGCAAACCAGCACACATACCAAAATAATCAATATTTATTTTGACAACAACCACAACAGCAACAACAAAAAACCAAACAAATCTACAATGAAATCTATTAAATTTAGTTATTTCAAATTTGATCGAATCCCTCATCTAATTTCAAATTCTATTCATCCCAATATTTTAGTTCTATTTTTTTCTTTTTTGAATTTAAACCAAATTTGTTAAAAAAAACTTTTTGTTCAATCAGATCCAAAAAAAAAATCTCAAAAATTAAAAAAAAATTAGCACCCAAATATAACTTATGATTTTGAAAAAAAAAAAAAAAAAAAAAAAAAAAAACCAACGTCCACGTTGCATGTGAAACCTTTCAAAGCAAGACCCTAATTTTTTCTCTTAACAAAACTAATATTTTTAGCACTTTTCAATAGAATGGTGGTTGTATTTTTTTTTTTTTTTTTGATTAAATATATTTTATAGTTATATACATATTCAATCTATTTATTTATTTATTTTATTCAATTTTATTTTATTTATTAAATTTTAAAAAAACATATATCTTAGATGAAATATTAAAACAAATTAACACCACACCACACGACGACTACAACAATATATATATTTTTAGTTTATGTATATATGTAATACTCGAGTCAAATAAATGAATTGTAGAATATGTATATTGCTGATTTTGTTGCTGATATTGACTACTACAATTTCTGGACAAAGACAACTTTATTATAGTTATAAAAAGTCAGCAGAAGCAGCAACAAGAACAACAACAATACCAATACCAATACCAACACCACCAAACACAATTTCACCACCTTCTTCAAATGTACAATCAAAATCAACTTCACTACCTTTACCATCATCACCACCAAGGATAAACAACAACAACAAACCAACAGTAATATCAATAGATTCCTATGATGATGAATATATAAAGAAAGTAGAGTTTTTAAATAGTTTCAAAAGGAAATCATCACCGTCTTCTTCATCATCATCATCAACAACACCCATACAGATTAAAAAATTGACAAGACAATCAATTAGAGCACAAGAGCTACTAGAACTTCGTCAATTAAATTCAAACTATAACAACAAGAATAACAAAATCAATAGTTTTAACAAGAAAGAAGATAAAGTAATTGAAAGTCTTAATCAAAATTTCAGTATGTAGAAAAATAATAGTGATAATAATTCTTAGTTTTTCAGAAAACAATATATTGACTTTTTTTTTAATTTTTTTAATTTTTTTAATTTTAATTTTAATAGCAAGAGTTTTATATTCATATTGGAACTCATCAGTGTATTGCCGTCCATCATGCTATTTCTTTGATGCCAAGAATTGGAATAACCATTCAGCACCCAGAGCAGGATATAACAACTATGCCTATGTCAGCGTCGATATGAGTATCTATAGCTCGAAGTTTCCAATTAGTTTGATTTTCGATAGCTTTGACCATAATATCGATACTTCGAGTATCTATTTTAATAGGTTGGTTGTCGGTAACAACATTAAATTCACTTACTTCAACAGGACTTTCAATGCCGATTACTTCACAGTCGGTAACTCTACCATTAGTTTCATTGCGTCCCGAATAAACATCAACACTTTTTCGATGTATGGTACGCAATTCTACCAATCCGGAACGTTTTTATGTCGGCACTATCAACTCTGATTTCAACTCGACGGTATACATTGACGGATACTTTCAAATGGAAAACGGAACTTTATATTGCAATGTGGTTTTTGGAGAGAGTTCCCGTGTAACCATTAACAATAACTATGGTTCAGTAACAAGATTCAGAGGTGGATTGGATTCGCGCTCCGACAGTCTCTATGTGATGAGTGGTACTCTTGAGTTTCAAGCTTATTCCAATGTCTTCAACCTTTACACTCTTTCGGAAGCCAATGTTGATGTAGGTGGATATCTAAGAGTGTATGGTTGTTTTCAAGTATCGAATATTCTACAGCGCAACAATAGTTATCTGGATATCTACAACTACAATTGTTCATCCACCACACTCAACATCAACCAACTTCGTAGTCCGGATTACATTTATTGCTACACTGTTATCCAAAGTCAACAGCTCACCATCGTTTCAGCACAAACCAATTGCTCTGTGGAAATTCATTCCGACTATTTTACGACGCAGTTGTATTCACACTATAGCTCGCTACGTCTGGGTGGTGCTCACAACAGCAGTATCCACAAGCTAAAGGAAATCAACGTTGACAACCTGTCGTTCAGTGACACACATCCACTGGAAATGGTTTTCTACGGCTCAAACTTTGTTGGCAGTTTTTACCCGACGCTTTACTCGTTTGTCGATCTCACTATTTCGCCTAGTGCTTCGCTCTATGTTGACTCGCCCATCTACATGATGAACAACATCATGGTCTACGGAGGGTTCAAGTCGATCAGCTGCTCAGGTGGCTCTATCATGTTCATGCAGTCCAGTCAGTCTGAAACAGAGTGGAATCAGTTTCTTTCGAATCAGATCGTATTTTATTCTGGTACTATCAACCCTTTCCTCGAAGGCAAAGAATTGTCGTTGGTTGGAAACACAGTGGTCCAAAGCTCCACCACTCTCAGCCAGTTTGACCTTGTCCATATCAGCAGTGGTGATATGCAAGTTATTTCAGGTCAATTGACAATCAAGAGTTTGGCTGTGAACGGAGGAAATCTCCTGGTCAAAAGCGAAGGTGAACTAATTATTCAGAGCGATGCCGATGTTAATAATGAAATGGTTGGCATAGTTTCTACTTCCTTCAACTCTTCGTTGCTAATCCAAGGTATTTTAACGATTGAATTCATAACCGATAAGATTCAGTATGGAGTACTATACCCTGTGTTTAAGGCATACAATGGAACGATGCTGAACAACAATTGGTTCTCTGGTGTAAGAACAGATGTTTTGGGAAATGATGGCGATCAAATGGCACACACCTTTAAGTACATTGACGACACTATCTTTGTAACTCTTACAAAAGATACTTCCAAATCAAAGAATATATTAACATGGTGGAAGATCACATTGATCGTAGTTGGATGTGTCCTCTTCCTTCTGCTTATGGCTGGATTTGGATTTTTCTTATGGAGACGTCATAAACTACAGATTGGATATCTAAAACTACAGCAACATTTTAGTATGGTTAAATAGTAAAGCAACCAACTTTAGAGAGCTAGTACTTGGAAAAGTTTAATAAATATGAATTTTTCTGTGTTTATTATATTTTTAAATGGTACATTTGTGTTTATATTATTTTTTTTTTGATTGGTTTATTTATGTATTGAATTCATAGCATCGTTGAATGCGTCCACTCCTTCATTTTTGTAGGCTTGGTACATTGACGGTGTAAAGAATTGATAGTAGGATGAAACATTTGGGAATTTACCAAAAGCCCAATCGTAGAGATCCGAGAATATTCTAAGTTGGCCACCACAACAATTAATGGTAACTAAATCACCATGACAACAATGACAATCGAATGCCATACCAGAGATTGAATTTTTACTGGATATCGGCTTTAAAAAGAATATATTAACGGATCTTTCAGTGTTTTTAGCAATCATACGAATGAATCTTCTGGAACTGTCTCTTTGGAAATCGATCAAGTCACGTTCTACATCGTGGAATTCCTGGTCATGTATATCACCTTGAAAGAAATTCCAACCGTAGGCACGCTCCTCACCCATTGTCTTTCGTAAGTCGGTGCAAAGTCGATCTGGATCTTCCGATCCGTCGGCGATATAAATGGTTTTAATGTCTGGATTGGCAAGTAGAACGAATAGTCCTGTGTTTTCAGAGTGAGTTCCATCCGATAGGTAGATGAAACCTCCGTGATTGGCGACAATAGGGATATCCAACGAATCACGGAACATTCTTACGATTGGGTTTTGGATCGGAGAAGACCAATGATTTGGACTGAACTCGGCCAACAAGAAAAGTATCACCAATATAACTCCTGGAATCCAAATTAACCATGGATAATCATTTCTAATCGAAGTTACACAATGTGGAATTGCAGCGATAAAGGGGAAGATACCCATGGCAGCACTAACTAATAAACTCTTTAGTTTGAATCTACGCTGATAATTCATGTTTAGCCATGATCCATAGCCGAGATTGAAGAGTGAAAGGAAATTCTCCCACGACTTGAATTTTGTATCGGAACCAAATGTCGATGTTAAAGATGCACCAGAGTTTACCATTGCAAACGATAGCTCAATGTCACGCATTCTACCAGTTTGAAGATCGGTGTTCAAGCCCGTGGTATCACCACGAAGATAGCTAATCTTATTGTGCGGATTAACATTGTTGCTGGATTTACACTCGATATCTGGAAGTGATTTTCCAATCGATATCGATGAGGTAGATGCTCCACCGGGTTTCAGTTGCCACAGGTTTGCTGTCATGGTGCTGATGTATGAAGCAGAGTCATCGAGGTCTGTGAAACGTGTTCCAGGGCAACCGAAGATTCCATCGCATCCATAGTAGTTTGTCTTGTAAAAAAGATTTCTGGAGACGCCATCTATAATAGAAATGTATAAAATTCTCTGCAACATACGAGGTAAAAGGGAAAATAATAATTAGAGCAATGCAGAGGGATAATAGATTGGACCAACGAGCATCGGTATATTCTATACGACCAAAGAGCATACTAGTGTCATTCAAACGCCAATTCATAAAGATACCGTAGATCGAAAGAATAGCAACGTATCCGGTTAGAGAGTTGATTAGATTTTCGATCCATTGCTGAACGAAAAAGAATGGATGGAAACGAATGATTGCCCAGAGTCCAGTTAAAGAAAGACCAATCGCACCGGCCACCCAATCACCGACGGCCTCTTCAATTCTATTCATTCCGGCTTGCGATCCTACTAGTACCGTGAAAAGTGCAGCCAAGAATGTAAGGACTTTATTCCAGTTAAAGAAAGCATATGGTATGGCGTGTCCACAATTTCCAATTACTTTCATCACTTGAGAAATAACAAAAAATGTAAAGGCCAAACAAATACCGACTACTGCCAAAATCCAACGGTGATCATTGTCTACGTAATGATAGAAAGCAGCCATTGATTCGACAAGGAAAATAATAAATGGAAATACTGTGACGAAAATCAGTGAAATCTGAACGAGAACCAAGGCAAGCATAACCAGGAAATCTACGAATCCATTGACACTGTTGAAATCAACACAGTAAGCAATGTTTTTCTTCATGTCCTTATCCAACTGTCTGTAGATTTCACGTTTAGTTTGCTTTTCTCCTCGATTATACTTTCGATCGAAAGCAACTCTCTGGCAGAAAGAACTTCCAACAAAGCCTCCACCGCTAACGCATGACAAAACAAGCTTGGTATCATTTGTGTGTCTACCCACTACCTGTTGTAATACTCCACTTGCAAAACTGGCAGCTCTGATACCACCACCATAAAATGCACATCCTACACTTCCATCAACTAAATTTTTCATACATACAATATATATATATATATTAGATTAAATAAACTAAATATTTGATCAATTTCTTGTTAGATTATTGTATTGTAATATACCTGGAAATTCTTGTATATCTAATTGATCTTCATCCATAGATTTTATTGGAGGACCTCTATGCTCAATTAAAGGTGATGTATTTTTCTTTGGACTTAGATTGATATTTATACTGATATCATGGTTATGTTTATCATCACTCATTTTAATTCTTTATAACTTTATCATTATATAAATAGATTAAATAATAAGAACAACTAAAATTTTGATCTACCATCGTGAATAATCACATTACTAACAAAACAATTAAATGAATTTTAATTCAAAATATATTTTAAAACAACATTAAATCTAATCAAAATCAAATTAGGTTACCCAACCAAAGAATCAATTTATTTTTATTTTACCCCACACCCGTTTGATCAAACGATAATCCAAACTGTTACATTTTTGTGGTGTAAAAAAAGATATTTTTGACGATCCATTTTTTTTTATTATTTTTTTTTTTTGGTTGATCATGAACAGCAAATCTTGTTCCAAATTACAATAATGGCGATTTGTTGTATTCTTTCTTTAAAGATATTTTTAAATGTCAAGGTAAATAAAACAATCCAATGATTTTTGAATTACTTTGTAAAACAAATTTTAAAAAGAAATGATTTGGAATTACTTCAAACTCTACTTTTAATCCAACTTTTTCACCAATATCTCTCCATCTTTGATTATTTCTTTCTGCTCCATTACAAACGAGTAGAGTTTCTATAGTGTAGAATTGTTTCTCTTTGTTAGTTATTCATCTTTAATGAATTTCTAAATTGAATATACAAACGCAAATAGAACGTCGCCATAATATTCTTTTCATTTCGAAGTTCTTCTTTATCATACAATTCATAAACATAAATACATCCACCGGTTCTCATTTTCCAAGCTATTTTCTTGAGAATTTCGAAATTCTACCATGCCATCTTGCCAATAATGTAGTACATTATTGAAGGTGTAGCAATCTGCTTCTGGAACATCGTCATTGACAATACTTAGCAGTATTTATTTTTCCAAATAAGTTAAATTGAAACAATTTAAATTATCTTAAATTAATTTTATACATATAATCATGTCCTTGCCATTTTCTTTAGATAAAGCAAAACCTCTTCTTTGACTTTAAGTTTCTTTGAGAAGACCTCTCTGCCACCGTTTTAGATTCTCCAATATTTATATGAGATGAAACATCCAATTGGCAGATTGTCAAACATGCAGTTTGAGTATATCCACCTGCAATATATAATAATTTTTTAGAATTCATTTTTCTAAGAATAAGAAAATAATTAGTTAAAAAGAAATAATAAGTAATTTAAATTAATTGTTTGAAGTTTCAATATTAATTAAACTATTAATAATTGGGTGTTTATTAAATAATTAGTGTTAAAAGTCTATAAAACTAGTGAGATAGAAAATAAATAAAAAAAAATTTAAACTCACTCTTACATTTTTAATTCTTCAACTCCAATGAGTTTCCTTTTTTTTTTTTTTTTTTTCATTTAAATCTATCTATGTAATAATATTATTAATTATTCAAAGTTAAAAATGAGAATCTATCTTAGAACTAAAACGATGTATGCCAGACCTATCACCAGATTTGCACATCAACTCCTGGTAGTGGATATAGATTTAAATGATACTACTGATGCTCTTCTTGAACACGTCCACAATGGAGGACAATATAGATTCTATTATAATCATATATTATTGGATGACACCCAAACATTTTCTTATTATGATATGAAAGAAGGTAAGTACAACTTTACATACTTTATTAATAGCTAATACTAACAGACAATATATCAATATTACTACTTTTATTTATTAAAAATAGAATCAATCATTGAAACTGTATCGAATCCTCTATGTGCAGCGTTTATATATAGGGAATTTCACCAACTTAATGATAAATGTGATCAAAACAATATAAGGAGTCAAAAACTCATCAACATAAAGAAAACACTTAAAGATATATTCGAACATGATATTCCACATGTTGGCAACGATTTCCATCTATTGAAAAGACAATACCTAAAGTTGCGTAACTATCATAAATACCAACCTCAAATCGTATACTGAATTGTATTGCTAACCAATATTTCTGTTTAAACACGTATTAGTTGAACCATTGGGAATGTCTCGTCAATACGAGCAAGCGTTAATCTATGATAATGTGTGGGACGACGTTGTTGGACATTATATTTCACGTATCTATAAACATTTGCCAGAGGAAGAGAATGTGTTGATCCAATCCTGTTTGGATGGCAACACTCCAATCGAAGAATATCACAAGTACGTAACGCAGAAGAAGAGAGAGAGGCAACTGGCTGAGATGGAGCTCGATGGATATCAGTTTGAGAATGACGATGACATACCGGCTACTCAGGTGGTAACTAACCTCGACGATGAATACGATCTTGTTTCAGCAGAGGAATCGGCAGACAAGTTAAGAGCTGCTTCAAAAAAGAGAAATCTGTTGTCACCAACATTCGAAGTGTTTATCAATGGCAAGATTCTTCATAGTTCAGACGAATCTCTTTATAAACGACTTAGAAATCTAGAGGATGAAAACATGAGATTGATAAGAATGTTCCCAAATGGTGGATTATCAATGATGTCAAGATTATCATATATACAAAATAGTCAAGAAGATAATAACAATAACAATATTAATGAAAATAATAATGAAATTTTAAATAATAAGAATAATAATAATAATACAATAATGAATATAGAGGAATTAGATACAACAGATAGTTCAGCTTTAGTTATTAAACCAACGACAACACCTCCTCAGAGTCAATCATCAACTCCATTGAAACCAATTAAATTACTACCATCACTCAAATCACCTCCAAAAGCATCTCCGCTGAGATCATCGTTGAACTCATCGATGAATTCCTCCAATCAGTCTTTGAATTGGAGTCAGAGTAGTCAGAGTAGCAGTGGAAGTCAAAAGCTAGTGGTATCACATTTCGCTGGCTCTGGCAGTATGAGTTCCGAGCTTCTCCCAACACCTGAACCCAATCCTGACTACCAACAGATTCAATACTCTGGATCGTCATCGATGAAGCCAGCCAAGGGTAAATCACCAAACAAAAACAAATGCTATAGACCACAACTCAATTCGATTGGATTCGCCACTTTGCTCACACTTGCAATCAACTGCCCAAAGATGTTTACTCATCAAGAGTTGGTGTCGCGTGCACAGAAATTCACACACATCGAACTGATCGACAATGAGAACTGTGTTGTCACTAATTTTAATAAGTTACCAGATGCCATCAACAAAATCATTCAAGAGGAACCCATATTGGTTACAGTTAAGAAAGAAATTTACAGTGCCACGCCAGCTGGCAGAGAGCACGGTAAACTTCTCCACCAGATCTATTTGGACAAGAAGAGATTCAATGAAATCAATAATACTACTATTGACTACAGCCAGAACAAGGTAATGGTGGTCATCGATACTCGTGAACTCAAGGCATCAAGCATTAAGAGGCATTTTGACGAGTGGAAGGTTCCATACATCGAAAGAAAGCTGAATGCCGGTGATTTTTGTTTTGTAAACACAGGTGTACACTCGGAGAATCTCGATAACTCACTCATGTATCCATTTTTAATCGAGAGAAAGACATGGAGCGATTTGTCTGCCAGCATACATGATCAACGTTACGAAAAACAGAGAGCCAGAATGATGAGTTTGGAGATTTTGAAACGACGGGGATTATTCTTTTTGATCGAAGGACTCGAGAAAGCATACAAGGGTAACGATATGCCTGATCTTAAGAAAAAAGTAGAGGAAATGGCAAACAAAGAGGAATTTCATGTAGTCACAACCAATTCTCTGATTCATACCTCTAGGTACTTGGCATCGTTTGCCAAGTTGCTCAGCGAAGAATGGAGTGAAGCCACTGGAATGATGAAATGTTCGTTGATCAACGACGCTAGACCGATCAATCTTTGGCGACAGACAGCGGAAATGGGAATCAGAACAAACGTTAAGCGTTCGTATGCCATAATGAAGGTAGACAGCTTCAAAGAGTACATGGTCAACAAGAAATACAGAGATGACATTGACTACGCCGTCAAACAATCGAGAGAAACCGATAAAGTCATAATAATGGAGGATCTAATCGCACATAAGAAAAAGATCTCATCTATGTCAAACAAAATGGTCGCATCATATATCGATCATAAACTATTCCAAACGCAACTCAAACCCTATTGGACCAATCAAAACATCATCCTGGTGGACCAGGTGGATGAAGAGTTTATCGATTACTATCTACTTCATATGCACGTAATACTCGGAGTAAAGGTTATCCCCTACCCCAGCGAAATAACAAAACAAAACACAGCTACTCTCAGAGATCACGATACTGTTTTAGAAGCTAGTTTTGATCGTAAAGTCTATCAAATCAGTACACAATATGCCATACCAATAGATGATAACCTAACTCTGCCGGCACCTCTTCAATCTCAACCAACATTGAAACTACCGTCCACTCAAACATCTCCAAAACAACCAACACTCGCATTGACAAACTCACCAACACAGCTGACATCCCCACCAAAACCATCACCAACTCTACCATCTCTTCCAACAAAACCAGCACTTTCACAATCCCAAGCATCTTCACAATCATCTATTAATCCTTCTCCTACAGACATTATGATTAAAAATAGACAAGCAGAAATAAAGCCAATCAATCTGGATGATGATGATTAGTCTTACTGAAAAAATATAAATAAAACTATTATTTAGTTGTGTATATCATATTTTGTAGTTTATGGTAGCTTTATTAAATTGTTAACTATGAAATTAACAATATTTTGTGAAAGAGGAGGTGGTTGGTTTTGAAGTTTTGGGTTCTTCAATTGATATGAATCAACACGTGAATCGTGAATAGTTTCGTTTGCTTTCTTTACAATGTCGAAAGCTTCTTGATCCAATTGTAACTTTGACTTGGTGGCAGACTTGAAAAAATCGATAATCTGTTTGTCGCTCGTGCAACAACTAAGCACCATCTTGAGAGTGTCAACGGTTTGTGATACAAAGAAATTTGGTTCGGAGGCATATCGCAAGACGACTTCCTGTTGGTTGGCCTCGATTAAACTCTTGAATAGCGATGGATAGAAAGTAAGTGTAGAGATCTTATTCTTTAGCATTAGCTTCTTGATATTCAACCACATAAACAGATTGTTCATTGGTGGAACCGGATATTTTATAGCATACAACTTCATTGCGATGGGAATGGTATAGTTGTTGGTGTATCTATTGAGATTGGTGATCTTTTCAAGTTCCGATAATGCTTGGCTGATTTGTCCCTTCTTCAAGTAGTCCAACATCACTAGATTGGCAAGGTTGATTGGCATCTGCTCGGTACTTCCCTTATAGTAGTCTACCAATTGCGGTAGGATAGATGGAACTTCTTCACGCTCCAGATAGCAACGCAATAGGAAACTGATTGATGTAAACGAAAGTTTGGCATTGGTGTTGATCAGTCCCAATATTACCTGTTGTGCCAACTCCAAATCGCCACGATGTGTAAGCCCATACACCAATGAATTACGGATCGAGATGGATTCGGTCAGCTTTGGATTGTCGACTGTCATCAACTCCTTGATTGTCTTGGTCAGATTATGCTTGATCATGATTGAATAGTGTACCTCTTCGAACGATGACGGCTTGCAAGACATACTCGTTATCACCTTGGAGAACTCATCATATTCCTTGGCGCCACGTGAATAGTAGAGATCCATTAGATCATAGACCAACGATATGACTGGCTCATGACCGAGTTCAATCATCTTGATAAAGTAGGAACCTGCATTGGAGTAATCTCTGGCCGTAATGAATGCTCGGACCATCATCTTATAGGTAATTCCATCAATGTTGAAACCAGACTCTTCTTTGACTTTGAATTCCCTATTGGCTTGCAGATGCATCTTGTTCTTTATGAGTGTCATGATTCTCATTCTAAAGGAGAAAGGTGATTCCTGTACAATATCCTTAAAGGTAGAGGTGGGCTTTGGTTTGACATCCTCCAAGCTTATATCATCATCCATCTCTGTCGTCTTTTCTGGTAGCTTTTGTTGAAACAAATCTTGCTTTTCTGGGTGGGCGATGGAGGTTCCTGCTTCACTCGGTGAAAGACTTTCCCAAAGCAGTTGCTGTGTCAATATTCGTCGCTTCATATCGAGATTTGGTTTATTGAAAGGATTGCTGTTTGGTGTGTAGTATTTCTTCATGTGATAATAGGTTCGCAGTCTCATGTCTTTCGAAACAACCAGTCCATTCTCTTGTAGTTTGTTCTCCCAGTAAACGACTTCGCCTTGTTCGGAACGGATCTTATGGTAATTGATAAACAACATGATAGTATGTGCGAATCGACGTGAATCACTTTGTGAAATACGCTTCTTTAGCCATTCCAATGCATTTTCATATTCGTCCATCATGAGGAAGACTTCGATGATCTGGTCGGTGGCTAGTTCAATGAATCTCGGTTCCTGCTCATTCAGTTTCTTTTGGAAAAAGTTGATTTGATGCTGCTTGGAAGGACCGGTCAAATGATAGTATGCGAGAATCGTTGAGAATGACGATGCAGTCAGGATATTGAGGTTAACGACATCGCGAATCAGACTCTCCAGCAGTTCGAATGCACCAACTCTCAGGTAGAAACGCAATACGAAACTGGCAAGTCTTTCATTCAGCTGAATTCCATTGTGTTTCATAATTCTCAACCACTCAGCACACTGCTCTACTTTTTGGGAGTCGATAGTCATGTAGATGAGAGGAGTGTAGGTGGCGAGAGTAGGCACAAATTGTTTTTTGATAAGACTTTCATAGAGCTGACGACAGACATTGTAGTTTTTGTACTTGGCAAATACACTGAGTGCATTATTGTACATCTCGAGGGTGTAGATATTATTGTTGTCCAAATACTCTAACAACTCTGTCATTTGTTCGTATCGCTTGCCGACTAGGAGCACCTGTAACATGCAACCAAGCACAACAGGTGACTGCTTGAAACAGTCGTAGTCTCTCACGACAAACAAGTAGAACTCTATGGCATTTCCAATGTCCTTGTGGTCGCAATACGATTTGATGATGGAAATGACAGTATCTTCACTCGGGGTGACATCGGCCAGCTTCATTTCACGTGACCAATAGTGGCGTACCAAGTCGAATCGGCCAAGATGCGCCAATCCTGTCAGCAGACTGTGGAATGTAGCTGCGGATGCTGTGCCATGTGTCTTGACAATCTCTTCGTAGTAACCCAATGCATCGGATACTGCTTGGTGTCTGTTTAGTAGGATGTGAATGATCAGATTGGTGAGATGCTCAGGACGTACCAATCCAGAGCGATTCATCATCTCGATCAGCTCATTGACAATCTTACGCTTCTGATTGAAACAACGAATCAATTCGTAGTAAGTGGTGGTATCGTAATGCACAGTATTGTCTGGATCCTTCTGGAGTCGATCCAACTCTGACATCAAACTCTGCACGTCCTTTTGCATCGAGAGATCAGAGTAGTATCCAATGAGAACATTGTAAATATTGATATCGAAATTGACCCTCATATGACGCATCGTCTTTACACATCTCTGAAAGTCTCTGAAATGATTGGCCTCTCTAAAGTTTACCAATATTGCATAGTACACCTCTTTCATTGTACAATTATTGTTGAGCGCCCATTGTATAGCACAATTCATCACATTATATCCTTGGTAGTTTGGTAGCTTTAAATATTCTGATAACCTATATAGTAGTAATAATGACAATAAAGTTAGTTAAAACAAGATCATTTAAAAATATTATTAGTGCACTTACTTTTGAAAATCCAACTTTGAATTTACAATAAAGGTATCATTAAAGTGTTGATAGAGTGCTACGAAATCCATTGATTTGAATGGGTTATTTTTGTTGTTGGCAATTGAAATATCACCATTGTCTTCTTGAATCAAACTTTCGATTGACATTAAATTATGATCGTTTTCATAATCTTTATTAGATGATAATGTTGATCCATCCTTTCTGCTATTAGAACTATTAATATTTATATTATTTAATTCGGGCTTGGTTGAAAATGATGATGATGATGTTGTTGTTGACACTGTCGATGAGCTGCTTGAATTACAAAATGATGATCGAACTGTTGTTATATGACCAAATGAATATAATCTATTATTATTATTATTATTATTTATACAATTATTTATACCATAACTAATACTATTACTATTATTATTACTATAACAACTATTAATGAAATATCTAGTTGATATCAGATTTGTAGATTGTTTAGATGTTGATCCTGATTTCGAAAATAGTTGTAACAAACTATTCATTATAAAATAAATATATATAGATAGATATAGATATGAAACAAGAATAACTTTATATTAATTTAATCATTTAATTAATTAACTTTGATTGATAACTATTAATGTTTTTATTTAAAAAATCTGATTCGGTCGAAATTCAAAAATCATTTAATTATAACAAAAAAAAAAAAAAAAAAAGTCTTATTTTTTTTCTTTGATTATACTCTTATTATTTATCAATTTAAATTACATGCATCACTACCATTTGTTTGGGAATACTACCAAACATTAATTCATGTTTCTAACTATTGATTATAAAAATTTAATTTATATGTAGATAATATTTTTCTTGAAAATAATTTTTATAACTTATAAGATCAGTAGATCTAATAAAACTAATTATACCACTATTTAAGTTATAATAATTTTTACAATTGATTTATTTAAATAATTATGTACAATTAATTCTTTTTTAATTTATCTTCTTGTTTTGGCGATGCTTCTGGTGAAGATGATGTTGGTTCTGATTCTAGTTGCTTTAATTCGATTTGGTCGTTCTCTTTGGACTCTGCTTCGTTAATACTGAATTGCTTCTCTGCCACTTGACCACTAGCGTTGGTCATTACTTTAATGGCTACACCCTTGGCGCTACCCAACTGAAGATTCAAGGCAGTATTGATAACGTCTTTTGATATTGAAAAGGTATCGTTTGTGACGTTGGCTACATGTTGACCTAGCTTGTGATTGACCACATCTACAGTGGTATCTGACATCTCCTCTGCGATCTGAGCCAATCCACTAGTTATTGCACCGGATATCGATGTGATTGCTTTGATTGACGATTTTCCCAACTCTGCTGCTGCATTTAAAGTCTCATTGTCATTGCTTGACGATACAGATGTTGGAACAATCATTTTGAAACCAGAGATAATTCCATTTCCAACGGTACCAACTGCATCTGATACCTCTGTAAATTATTCATTAATATGCGCTACTCTAGTTATGTCAATAACCATTTTACTTACTTTCTATCAATAATGATGAATATTGGGCTGCGTATGGTGTAGTTGATTTCAAATAGCCAATTGAGTTTGAGACTACTGGTGAAACTTGCATTGGACTTTTGTTCTTCTCTAGATTACTTTTGAGATAGTACCCGGTGCCTCTAAGTCCGAGAGAAATCATTGTCGATGCTGCCTCAATTGAGGATGCTAATGTCTGACCACCATTATCCAGACTTGTAGACATGTACATTATTGATTTTACAACGAAACTAGCAGACTCTGGTGGTTGCTCACGTACACGTTGCTGCTGTTGTTCTATCTCTCCTTCTTTTCCAGGTGACGGTGCCTGTTCAACAGGGTGGAATACGCCAAAGTAACAAATCTTGCCAAGTTGATTTTCAAAAATATCGATATATACATAAGGAATATCATGTGGAAGCAATACTCCATAGAACTTGTCTTGAGATTGAATTATATAGTTTCCAGGTGCCACTGCGAATACTGGTGTGTCTTTGGTGATGAGGAATCTATGATCTGGCTTACTCTTTTCATCTGAATCGATATCGATTGAATGGTCATCTTTACTGTGGAAGTGAATATCTAGCATATGCAAACAACCATCCTCTGATGCCTTTAATAAATATAATTTTCCATCTCCAATTACTTCTTTATCTATTATTTCATTTATTCCATCTTTATTATTATTGTTGTTTTCATTATTATTATTATTATTATTATTATTATTATTATTATTATTAGATTCTTTCCAACTATATAATGTAACTAAATTAAAAGTTAACAATACTTCATTTTTATTATTGTTACTATTATTATCGTTCTTGTTGTTGTTATTATTATTATTTATTTCTTTTTCCAACATTATTGCTTTTGTGTGTATCAAATGATTTCTAACATTTATACTATAATTTAAGAACTCTGACAATGCTGTGTATTGTGTATTATCCCCTTTTATTAAATTAATTAATATTATTAGAAATTTTATAAAACTTTTCTTCAATTTGCTTACTTTCAATTATATTCTCAATTATATCGATTGTGGTATTGTATCTATCAATAGCAAAACTAAACTTACTATCAATGGTACTATTATTATTTTTGTTGTTCACCAATTCAGAGTCATTGGTCTCCAAAAATGTTAAAAAATTGGATATATATAGATCTGTTTCTGCTTGTGTTTGTCTGCAAGAATTTATTAATATATCAACAGGATTATTATTGTTGTAAATTTTCATTACTACTTATAATTTAATAGATCTTTGTTCAATTTAATAAATTTGCTTTTTTTAAATGAATTTTCAAGAATTCTTGTGTGAAAAAAAAATCTAAAAAATTAAAATAAATTTAAATTTAATAAATATTATTATTTTATTATTTATATATATAAATATATATTATTGTTTTTTTTTTTTTCTTTTTTTTTTTTTTTTTGTTGTTACACTATAATGTTTATTTTGGTTATTTTTTCAGTTTTTGATGCGGTGATTTAAATTATTATTGACATTATTGAGGTTATAATAACAATAATAATTGTTGTTGTTGTTGTTGATGATTGATTCTTCTTATTTCTTTTTCATTTTTTTTAAGCAGTTGAGAAGACTGGATTATGTCTGCAAATGCTTGGACCAATCTCGTCGTATTTAGCCTTGGTGTGACACAAGTTGTAGAAATCTGGGGTGGAGGCCAACATGGAACCACCGAACCATACGGCGTAACGTTGACGGTTGTGGGAGACGACGTTGACTTCCAATGGGACAGCCTTGATCTTACCACCAGAGAGTTCTTCGGAACGCTTGATACGGAAGTCGACAGAACGCTTGATATCTCTTTGCAATCTTCTACCAAAGTCCTTGAACATGGTGCTACCACCAGAGAGAACGATGTTCTTGTAGAGACCACGACGACAATCGATTGGACACGATTGGATGGTGTCATCGACAACCTTTGGTAATGGTGTCAAAAAGTCGGATGAGATGATCTCTGGGTTGAAGAAAATCTCTGGACCGAGGAAACGCTCGTAACCGACGTCGTATGAGAATGGACGGTTGGTGACAGCGTCGGCAGCTTGGATTGGCTTGATCCACTTGTCTGGCTCGGCATCGTACTTGGCAAACTCCTTGACCAAGTCTGGACAGACATAACTGTATTGCTCCTTGACACGCTTGGCAATTTCGAGTGATTCAGCTGGTGGGATGTTTGGCTCACGCTCTCTCATGATTTGTTGAACGAAACCAGTGATATCTCTACCGGCAATTGGGATGTGCTTGATCGATGAACCAATAACGTAACCTTCAGCTACTGGAATGACGTGAGTGACACCATCACCAGAGTCAATGACAGTACCGGTCAAGGTACGATCGGCATTCTTCAATGTCCAGGTGGCAGCAAGAGCCAACACTGCTTGTACTGCAATATATAATCCTGGAACGTTGAATGTCTCAAACATAATCTCTGCAGTGAATTCACGATTCTCTGGTGCATTTAAGGGTGGTTCAGTCTTTTAAATTTGAGAAAACAAAAAAAATATTATATTTTATAGAAAAATAGAAATGTTGATTTTGTTAGTTTAATGTAATCATGATTAGGTATTGTTATTATTATCAACTTACCAAAAGGAAATAGTGATCCTCTGGTTCACAACGCAAGTATTTGAAGATACATTGCTCCCAATATTGTTCCATGTGTGTCCAGTTTTGAATTTGACCATGACGGATTGGATTAGTGATATCGTAGGTCTTTGAGTTGGCAACAGCTTCATCACCAATAAAAAAGTCTAAATCTTCGACACCCTTCTTCATTGAAGCAGCTGTTTGCTTACCCTTTGATGATTGAGTTGCGATGGTTGATGGAATAATGAATGATGGATCATCGTTACCTGCATAACCCATTTTGGTATAACTATATAGTTTAAAACAAATAGAATATATTAGTATTCCTCATTGCCCATACATTTCACTTGACTCTTTGATTAACGCTTTTAAATCGACGAACTTCAACTATTCAGTTTCAAAAGTTCGAACTTTAACGATGTACTTTTTTTACCATATCCATTTAATATTGTGTTGAACTGTACTTTGGTTGTAAAAGTTGAATTCATTCATTTTGAACAGAGTCGATTGTCATCTAAAGCTTGTGTGAAGTCAAGTAAAATCGAGTTGGTAGATATTCGATACATACCCGGTACCATTATCGATGACAACTGCTGGAAGTCCTGAATTCATTTTTATATATAGTTGGTTGGTTGGTGTTGAGAGAAATGTCTACAAATTAATTATAATATACAACAGGGTTGGTTTTGTTTTGTTTTGTTTTTTTTTTTTTTTTTTGAAAGGTGTTGATTTTTGATTACTGAATATATATCTTTTAGTCTTTTGTTTGAAATAAATAAGTATTAATCAAAAAATGATTTGATTGAAAACAAAAAAAAAAGATAATTATTTTGTAATTGGTGATGTTATAGTTTTGGTAAATTCTATGAGAGTTTGGTGTGGGTGTGCATCAGAAAAGAATGATGAGCCAATGTTCAAAAAAAAATTAAAAAAAAATTGAAAAAAATTAAAAATTTTCAAAAAAATACAATAATGAAAAAAAAAGCCACAGTTATCTATTAAAAAACCCATCAAAATTGCTTTATTATGTAAAAACCCACAACCAACATCAACAAAAAAAGAAAATATAAATTTTAAAATAAAAAAAATGAACAACAATTTTTTCTTCCAAAGTCAATCATTAATGGTTATCATAATATTAAAACCAAAGTTTTTTTCACTCAAGAGAAATATCTTTAATTTTAATATTAATTTTTTGTAAATTTGCAAACAGAGATAAAAAATTAAAAATAAATATACAGATAAATATAATTTTATTTGTTAATTGTTTGAATTATTTTTATTAAGTTGCAAAAAAACTAATTGCAGGATCAATGAATCAATGAATATGAACTTTAGATTAAAATATGTGAAACATGAATCTTATTATTTCTATGTCTTTCGAATCACTACACTTATCGATCTGTAATATCTATCTGTTCGGTGGTGTGGGATGAATTTAAAATTTTTTTTTTTTTTTTTTCTTTGTTTATTTTTGACTTTTTTTTTTTTTTTTTTTTTATTAATTTTTTTAATTTTTTAATTATTTAATATATCTTGTTGTGTTGTTTTGTTTTGACCGATCAATCAAATAAAAATTATAAAGATAGATTAAAGAATAATGTCAAGACATAGATATTTAAAGAATTTAACGGATGATGGTAAATAAATAGTGTTGTATTTAACTTGGCAGCAGTTCACTAAGTTTAGTTTTTATATTTATAGATTATGGAAACTATGACGATGAGGATGACTATTCAGAGGAGGAAGCAGTAGGAGGTCAACAAAACAATGATGATTTCGACGATGAGGTGTATGATGTCTACGATATGGTAATCGAAGCAATTCCTGACATTGCATTGGAAGAGATCTACGATGTATTGACAGACTATGACTTTGATGTTTGACAAAGCAGTCGATCACTTTTTGAATCTTGCTGACAATCCATCTGCAAACAGCAACAAAAAGAAACAACAACCAAAACAACAAGCACCAAAGCAGCAACAACAACAACAACAGGCTAAACAGACAAACAATAATAACAACAATAGTAAAGGTATGTTAAATTATAGAAAAAAACAAACAAAATGTGAAAAAAAACATATATATATATATATGTTTAATTTCTTTTTATTTATTTCAATTCAAATTGTTGATTGACTTTGTTTTGTAAAATATAATATTATGTAAAGATGATATCAATAATAATTATGTTGGTGGTGGATTGCCTAATGTATCAAATTTAACAAAGATCAATGTTGTTAGTAGACAACAAAGACAACATTCGAGTAATTACAAACCATCAGAGTTAGCATTGAATCTCTGTGAAATGTCACCAACTAAAATCGTGAAACCAGAGAGTTTAGCGATATCACAGTTCAACTCAATGTCATTGTATGATCGTGACAATGACAAAGACGATCCAATCACACCCTACAACTTTGAAGATCCATCACCCGATGACATCATTCTATTCAAACAAAAACAAGCATTTAAACCAAGTAATCTATCACTCATTCTATATTTTGTTCTACTCTCTGTGTGTTTATTAATTTTAGTTTGTTTTGTTATTGCCCAACATCTTGAGTGGTTAACTAATTAATCTATTGCTATAATTTATATTTATAGGTGGGAATCAAAGTAAATCGATTCAAAAGAATCAAAATGTAAATCAATCGGCATCAAAGAATATAAATACAAATCAACTAAGTGATGGATTAAAGAATATAAATATTAAGAAGCAAACGCAGCAACAATCGAGAACACCTTATAATACACCAACAGGATCGATTTCTTCAGAGATGGCAGGCTCACCGTCAGACTCTGATTTGAATATGGCAGCGGCTGCAAACCTGAGTGCTTCACAAGGAAATATCAATGTTCACAAGAATGTGAAACAACACTCTGCTTCTCGAAAGAAGGAGTTGGAAGAGTTGGTGCACAATTCATTTGCTACCACCAACAACAAGCCACATTTGAATATGGTAGTGATTGGACATGTAGATGCTGGAAAGTCAACTACAATGGGTCACTTGCTGTATAAGCTTGGCTATGTAGACCAGAGAACTATCAGTAAATTCGAGAGAGAGGCAAACAACATTGGTAAGGGTTCATTCCACTTTGCTTGGGTGTTGGATGAGCACCAAGAAGAGCGTGAGCGTGGTGTGACAATGGACGTGTGTGTTCGTTACTTTGAGACCGAACACCGTAAGATTACATTGCTGGACGCTCCAGGACATAGAGATTTCGTACCCAACATGATCAGTGGAACGACACAAGCCGATGTTGCTATCCTCCTGATCAACGCATCAGAGTTTGAGGCTGGATTTTCATCGGAAGGACAGACCAAGGAACATGCACTCCTCGCCAAAAGTCTTGGAATCATGCAGCTCATTGTCGCTATCAACAAGATGGACTTGGTAGACTGGTCCGAAGAACGTTACAACTACATCACAGAGACATTAAAGCAATTCTTGGTATCTGCCAAATTCAATGAGAAGAATCTTTATTTCATGCCAATCAGTGGATTCAAAGGTGATAATTTGATCGAGAAGATAGCTGATCCACGTTGTTCATGGTACACCGGTAACACTCTAGTACAACAGATCGATAGTTTCAGTGTTGGTGAGCGTCTTATTAACAAACCATTTAGAATGGGTGTCAACGATATTTATAAAACCAACTCGAAGGGCTCAGTTTTGGTCGGTGGAAAGATCGAGGCAGGTGTGCTGGGTGTTGGCGATAAGTTACTGATCTCACCAGGCAATGAGCTCTGCACAGTCAAGGCGATCCGCAGAGCACATAACGATTCGGATTGGGCAGTTGGTGGTGATAATATCGATTTGTCACTGGCGATCGACGTCACCAATATCTTGCGTTTGGGAAGCATCCTTAGCGACCCCGAAAAGCCAATCCAGGTATCCAAGCGATTCTTGGCACAGATTGTCACATTCACATTGCCGCTCCCGATTACCAATGGTTATCAAGCGGTGTTTCACGCTCACTCTATGGAGGAGCCAGCCACCATTACCAAACTACTCTCACTTCTCGACAACAGTGGAGGTGTCTCCAAAAAGAAGCCACGTTGTGTATCGGACGGCATGACAGCGTTGGTCGAAGTTCAACTCACCAGACTGGCGTGTCTCGAATTATACAGCTCCTATAGACAACTCGGTAGATTTACACTACGTGAATCTGGTAAAACAATAGCAGCTGGAATTATCACAGAGTTTTTGGATGTAGATAAAGCAACTTTAAATTCATCTTCTTCTTCAACATCAACAACAACATCGACATCATCCTCAATAACATCAAAAAATTGAAACAAATAACAGATAATATATTAAAATATATCATATTTAAAAAGAGTGATTGTAAGGCCAATGCCAACTCATAACCGTGTGTTTGCATCATTTTACCACACGTTTTTATTAATTTACATTTTTTTAAATTATTTTGTTTTCAGATTTTTTTTTTTGTCAAATCCAACTTCTCCTTTGATTATTCTTTCAATCTTGATATTCCTTTGTTTATTTGTTAAACAATTTAAATAAATAATATATTTAAATCAATGTCATCAATAGTTTAATTTTAACAGTAAAAATTTAAAGTATGGGCTTAGCTGATTTATTTACTTCTTATGAAACTGAGAAGGTATGTTTAATTGACCTTATATTTAATTTAAATTTATCTAACATTTATATTATCATAATATTAGATTGTTAAAATCAAAGATAAAAGACTCAAAATTCTTCATATTATATTTTTATTTGCAATTTTCGTGTATATATTTATTTTTAATATTGTATTAGATAAAAGCTATCTATCTATAGAGTTGCCTATTGGTACCATTCGTACCTCTTTGCAAGCAGTAAGTTTTCTAAATGAAAGTAATAGTAAGATGTGTGAGTGTTAACACTTTTTAAAAAAAACAATATTTTATAAAACTTAGCCACAAGCAAGATCAAGTGAATTACCATATTGTTTAAACAGTACAAACATCATATTCAATGGATTTCCAACAATGCAATGTGCCTATTGGGATGAAGAGTTGATTGTTTATCCTCCAACAGCCGACTACTCGATGTTCGTGTCGACACGTGTCACCACAGAGGTACAAGACACCCCCAACTGCGATCTGACTAGCTTGAATTGCACATTCGAATCGTTCAACACTACCAATCTCTTTATTGCCGACATTGACAATTTCACTATTCTCCTCGATCACACACTCTCAGCACCTTCACATGACATCCAATTCAACGCACGTGAGTTGCCTGGTCAACTTTTAGATACCGACGGTAAACCATGGACACCACCTGTATGTTATATGTAAACAGCTAGTTGGATGAGCAAATTATTCTAACCACAATCTGTAATTACTTTAGCCACCAAGCGTTGTTGGTCAAAAAGGATTGTTTGACATTTTGACTTTGGATACTATTTTAGAGGCAGCTGGCATCGATTCATTGGATGACATGAGTTTAAGTAATTCTTCAAGATCGATTAGAGATGACGGTATTATTTTACTGGTGTTTATAGATTATAGTAATGTCTATACTTATAATACCAACAACTATCGTTATACCTACCGTTTCAAAGCAATAAAGGATACAAAGTTCAAGATCATGGAGCCTATATATGGATCTGATCTGCAACATCGTTTCGTGCTGAATCGACACGGAGTGAAGCTGATATTCTTACAAACCGGTCAAATCGGTGCATTCGATTTTCAAACCTTACTTTTAAATGTAAATATCTCTGACAGTAGACAAAACTTATCATTTATACTTATTTTTTTAATTATATTCAGTTTGTATCAGGTTTAGGATTGTTAGCAGTTGCAACTTTTATTGTAGAGAATATTGTTATGAAGATCTTACCACAGAGAGATGAATATCATTCATTAAAATATCAAGTTCATGTATTGGATGTCGAGCAACCAAGTGAAACGCTTACCTATCAGGCAATCAGTGATTAATTAATTATATTCTCATTTTTATAAATATTTATTTACAAAATTAAAAACAAGGTTTATCTTAAATCTATTTTACAATGTTTATTTTTTGTTGTGTTTGATTGGTTGGTTGGTTGGCTGGTTAAATGAGATTGTATACCATGTGAACTTATTATATAGTTACAAATCTATTACTCTTATTTTTGATTGATTCACTTGATATTGTTGCGGTTGTTATGATAATGTTAAAGTTATAGGTTTACTCTATCTATTATATATGATCTATATTTCAATCTATTCGGAGACAGTCTTGAAAGATGCTTCTAAATAATCTACCTGTCTCTCTAATGTTAAAATCTTTTCATTTACAGTTGCTAATTTATTTCTAGTTGATAGTTCTACAAATGAGTTGTTTAATCACAATGTTAGAACAATTATATGATTGTTATAATACATGTTGATGATACATACCAAACTTATTTAAGAAATCGATAATCTTTTGTATATTTAATGTTACACTCTCAATGAATTCTCTCTCCTCCCAATCTTTTTGAATAGGTGCCTTTGTCATTTTATTATAATATAGTATGCTGTTGCTGCTGATATGGTATTATTATAAAGTTGATTAAATATATAAATTATAATAATATAAATTTTAAATAAAAAAATCTTGCTTTTTGACATAGCTTCGATCAGATGGTTTTTTTTTTTTTTTTTAAAAAAAAAATTGTGTCCAACAATAAAAGAAAATTAAATAATAAAAAATGTATGATTATATTCGATTTGCTATCATTTTATTCTCTTTGTTATAGGTTTTTTTCTTTTATATATTGTATTTAAAAATTTGAAGAGGTATGATTTATTACTATATAATTATTTATTCCATCTACGACGATAATATAAAAACTTTAAATTTGGATAGGTTTTTTCGATTGCTCGATTGTCATCTCTATTCTCTGAAATTTGATTGCCATATGTGTGCACCGATACATTATAGATCTTCTTGGCGTAGTTTGCAACGGGGTCAGCTCGGTAGGTTCCATGTAATGGACCAGGGCTGAATCGATGTTTCGATTTGATATGTATGTAGCCAGTGGGTCTCTGTTCGTTAGAATACATATACTGGTCAAACTTCTCATGAAATATGAAACGATTTATCGATGACGATCTGGATGCCACTTCGAATGTTTTCGCCAGACCGCGACCAACATCTATGTTTTCAATTGATTGATTCTTGGCCAACACACGATTCAAAAACGGTCTACAATCCATGTAGAGAGTGTGTACCTTACACTCTGGTGAGCATAACAGTTTCTCCAACTCTATTTGCTCATCTCTCTTGACGATGGTCCACAATATGAGTTTGGTGATGTTCTTAAAGATACTACTGATCATCGGAATTCGTTCCAAGCTAATATTGGTAAAACCGAGGGTGGTAACTTGACTCTGGTTTGTTCGGAATTTAAGGCCACTAAAGAGTTTTGGAAGTTTCAACTTTTTCAAAGAGTTTGATATGAATATAGAGCGAAAGTCAATTCTTTCAAAATAACATTTTATTAAATTGAGTGATGTCAGTCGTGGTATTTGTTGTAAAGCCTGAAATACATTGATGTTGTTAATTGTTGCACCACAGATTTGTACTGATTCAAGATTTGGCATCAATTGAATCATTGATTTGGTTTGTTGTATTAACATAGGTTTGTTCTTCATGACGATTAATTTTAGTTTGTAGACATGGTTGAAGATTAATACCAATTCAGCTTTCGTTGACTTGCTTGCAATTTCCTTTAAGATATCTAAAGACATTGTTAGATGACTGATAATCTTGAGTATGGAATGTTGATTTAAATAATGATTTTTTATCTCCACTCCTACTGTATCTGGATTGCTATGATCACCAAATATTTGAAAACTTTCAATTTGAAAGCGAGTGAATAACGTTGAAATCAGTTGGAACAACTCTTTGCAAACCAATGCAATAGAAAATAACCATCGGTAGTTAGAAAAAAGTTGATCTGTATTCGTATTGAAAATGATATCATCATTCCAGATATCTTGAATTATTTGATAGATTATCAAAGTTGGTAATCTATATCCAACTGTTCCACGAAAATATTGTTGGATCGGGTTGTTTGCAATTAATTTTGATTTCAAATCAATAATTTGTTGTTGATACTGAATGATAGCATTGATAAGCATATCTTTTCTAATATGACTATGTTTTAATGAGTATGCTTTCACTATTTCAACCAATTCTTCCCTCTTCATTTTCTCAAGTTCATTTATATTATAATTTATTTGTTTATCTAATATTTCTTTTGTTGTCATCTTTTAAAAATATATTTTTTAAAAAAATGATCAATAAACAAATATTCTAAATAAGAATTGTGTTTCTCTTTGTACTATCCTACAATGATTTTGGCGGTCTCCTTGGTACAGAAAAAAATATTAATTTATTAATTAATAAATAGGGTTAATATGATGAAGGTGTGTTTTTATGCAATTTTGCATTTCAAAGAATCGCAAATGAAGTTCGAAAAAAATATATTAATATTTATTGTTTAATTATATTGGTGTATTGATGTTTTTTTTCATTACAAAGGATCAAGTGATTAAAGATACTATGAGAGTGAAAGCTTCAGATGTTGCAAGAACAAGACATAACCACATATATGTTGACGATAATGATCGAGACAAACATACGTTCAACATCTCTACTTTCTCAAATAAAAATAAAAAAAACTTATTTAGATAGTTTATTTATAATTATTAATTAATTGTAATTCTCGTTGTTTACATTGTTAAGTTAGATAGTAGAGGAATAGCATCACTTTGCAGAGTTTCTAAATGATTTAATCGATTATTGTAATTGTCGCCAAACTGTCATCTCTGGACCAGAAAAAGATTACAACTATTCGTGCCAACAACAAGGTCCAATATGTTCTTCAAGCACAGTAAGTGTGGTCAGTGGAGCAGATGTCTTATTCAAAGATCTTTTACCTCCAAAAGAATTCAAAAATGCCTTGAATATCTGTGTATGATCACCATTTTTATTGATCTAATATCATTAAAGTTTAAAAATATTAGTAAATCAATTAATAAATGATAGTATAGTATTTAGTTTATTGAAATTATATAGGATTTATGAATAAATAAATAAATATATGTCAATGAATGAGAAAACTAATGAGTGATTGATTAAACGAATTATATAAATTAATGAATAAATAAAATGAGCTATTTGAATTGAGAATCAATTTCAATTGTAGATCAAGTGTGAATAATCGTGATGAGCATTCAGTAATTTGAAATCATTAGTGTATAGGATTGTATAATAAAAGTATAGGTTTCTCTGTTATGTTATTTTTAATGATTGTGTAATTGTGATTCAAGATAGTTGATATAAGATTATTTTGTTGGTGTGTAATTATGTTAAAGTTTAATATTTGGTAATCCAAGTTGTCTGAATCATGATTAATATTGTATTTTGTCTATAGACAAGTTAAATCGATATAATATTGAATAAAAAACAGTAAAGATAGAGTGTAGATTAAATAAGAATAAAAGTTAACTAACCTTTCAAATTATCTTTACAAGAGTTGCATGATAATAGAGGTCAATATAAAATATGCTAATTTTTGTTTTACTATAGTTAAATGATAAATGATTGTAAGTTGTTGTTAACAATTAAAATAATAAAATATTACTTTTGATGTTCAGTGTTAATGATCAATAAATTTCTTTTTTTTTTTTTTTTTTTTTACTTTTCATTTTAAATCTTTATAGATCTTGATATCATTATCAATAATAATAATAATATCAATATTTATTTAATAATTTTAAAAGATGTTACATCTTTAGAATATAATAAATTATTTAAAGAAAGTAATGAGTCATAAGATTCAATTCAAATGTAAGCTCAGTAAATGATTTCAGTATTGTTTGTCTATTATATTGTCTCACTCTTCAAGTTTACTTTTTGTATTCTAAAAAGATACATATTGAACAGTAATATTGAGATAATGATCATTCCTATAATGCTAAACTAAACTAACAAACTAATTTTAATTAATTAATAGATACACAATATGCAACTTTTGGTTAGATATCTTTTGTTGACAGCAATGTCAATATATTAGTTGAGTGGTGGTTGGTTCTGATGAATGAAGATTAGATATTAGATTGACTATACTCTCAAAGATAGATACTTATTTTAGAAGCTATATGAGATAGGACAATAGCGGTGATCGACTCTTTGGCTAAGATGTGAAACACTTTGATAAAAGTCAATGCAGTCACTACCATCTGACAAGAAGATATGGTCAATATCGAGCAAGAGTGATCGAATGTTCCAAATAATTTACATTTGGATTACAATTATCGACATCAACAATCTTTAAATTGCTACAGATAGATTAACAGTAAGAGAAACATTAATTTATTAATTAATAGAATGTTACTAAACATTTATTGATTATAATTTAGGAAATTATGGTGCATATCAACAACAGCAACATCAACAACAAGTTGAATATGAACAACAGCAACAGCAACAGCAACAGCAACAGC